ACCTAAGTTTAGTAATAATTTAATAGTGTTTTTAAGTTCTTTAATAATTAGTGTAAATTAATAGTGTAATGTTCGTGGGTTTTACAAATTAACTTTTATGATTCACAACGATAAAAACTATTTATTTACACTAATTATTATTAAAGAACTTAAAAACACTATTAAATGATTACTAACTTAGGTGATGAATTACTCTATTTATTTACAGTACTGTTGATACATCACTATTCACTGCGCTGTCAATTTATTTCTAGATTCACTTCTGCAACAGTCAATTTATTTCTACTACTCTCTCGGCGATCGTCTCTTCCTTTATATACTCTTTTGTGTCCTTTCTGGAACCTTCTTGAGCCGTTCGGAAAAGTTTCGTTTTCTTTGAACTGTTTAATTGCTTTCCCGGAACGCAGGTACGACACACACGTTTACAGATACGGCACACATTAAGAAAAGCGCCCGCGGCTAGTCGGCGAATCGATAAGCCGCTCACACACACGTATGCCCGATCGCACACAATCACGCTACAATATTCTTTAAATCGATGCATGATTATGAGATCATTTTTTATGAATTGTAGTTAACTTTTGAAGAAAACGTCCTGAAAGCACGTAGATTTGGTCGTAATAATAGAATTGTGGAACCAATACCACCTAATATATTGTTTAAAACCACAACACAAAGAGTGGAAATATGTTTTTGGGGCGTTCGGAAACTTAAAACTATGGTTATTATAAAACCTAAAATAATTGTTGGATTTGGTCAATTAAAGTTAGAATCCCAAACGCTTTCTAATATCAGACACACTTTAAATTTTTCTGACCCCTTCGTGAAAGGAGAAGTTGTAAGTTAGTTTCCAGCAAAACCTAACTTGTAATTAAAAAACTAAAAGTACCATATTTAAATCAGGAAATATCTGACAACCCGGAGTTAATTTCACCACTTGTCATTAAAATGTTCGATGTAAGAAGTTTTGGAAGGTTGGCTTACTGTGGAATCCATATGAACTATATCTATCCTTTCCTTTATATGCCAATGCATGTAAGCGAAAGAAACAAGGCTTTAAAAAGAAAGTCAGTTAAAGGTAAGCAAAGATCATAAAATTGTTAGATTACATAACTATCGAATGCAACTGCAAATGTGTATTGATTTGCTAAAGCAATAGCAACTCCTGGATTGGTGAAAGCAAAATGTATAATGAACAAGGTACACATAGTATTTATTAGAAATTTGAAAGACTGTCAGTCGCAAATAACTCACATTTTCATTGAGACAAGACCATAAAGTCATCAGGTTTCTGAAAAATTTCGCTGACGACATATCGCTAATTTATTCGAGTGGAGTTATTCACCTTACAGAACTTTTAAAAACTAGGAGATCACGCAACGAAGACGTTATAATTACTATTTTGCGTCACCTCTTCAAATTATTCCATAATCAAACAATTGTAATGCAGGTTAAATAAGATCCTTTTAAGCATGTTAAACTATTTGACAATCTGTTAGTTAAAATAATTCGAAGTGGTCTGTATTCTGTCGAAACTGCCAGTTGCGGATCGCGATTTCGATCATCAGCGCATCGCAGGCAGCTCCGGCAGAACACAGACCACTTCGAATTATTTTATTCGATTAAGCTAACGTGCCTATCACGTTGAGGTTGGTTACGCCGGTATTCGTTTTCAGCAAGTAGATATCCACACAAGTGAACCTTGTTGGAGCATACGTAATCCTAAAATGTAGCATCGTGCTACAGATGGCGTGTACTATGCCATTTATAGTATTTTCTAAATCTGTTAGTTATCCATTCTCTTGAAAAAGTTTCTTCGATATTTATATTTCGATTTAGATCCTGTATCTAAATTTAGCCCTAATGAAGCTAAAACTCGCAGCCATGGCGATAAGGAACCTTGGTACAAGGTGCTTTTCAGAATTTTATTTAGTTCGGAAAATGTCAACTTTAAGCAGAGCGATTTAAAAAGGTTAATGGGCAAAACAAAACAGCCAGTAAAGAAAGCAAGGGATGTTTTTGAACATGAGAACGATTGGTGGTCTAGATATTTCGCTTCAGTAGAAGAATCTTCCACTGAGGTTATTTATACATCAAAAGAAATATCGATCTCTATTTTCATGTTATATTATAGGAAGAATGCGAAAATAATTCGGAGAATGAAATTGGTGTGTCGGAAGCACTAAGTCGAATAAAGGTGAGTATGCGCATATGTTATAACCAAAGTCCGAATTGCGGAATTAGACAAGCCACTAATCAATTTTTAGGATCAACAAACAGTTTTTGTTAAACCCTAAACAAATTTCCATTTACATTTAACCGATATTGTTTCGGTGAACCCTAGGAGTAATTTAAATGAATATGTAAACGTTGAACAAAAATAATTCGGTATTTGACCAATATCAATTCTGCTTACGATTGTAACATAGCAGTCAAAGTATTCCATTATTGTATTTAAATTTTATGTTTTAAGTTTTCTTAAATGTTTTTTACTCGTATTTTCAAAGTGCTCGTTAAATAAAATAATTATTTCACTAACAATTATTAAATACTGCATGCATATATACAGTTTAGGTTTATGGGTTTTATCTTTGACTACTCGATATAATTCCTTATAGGATTGGCCGAAATGCTTTGACTATTAACATATATGTGTATTGCAAAATGAAACTTAGTTGTTGATCAATTTATTTTAATTAGGTTTATACCAAAGAACTAGAAGCTCAGTTAAATTTTGAAAAATTTCAAGACACATTAACTTCATTTCCTATGTTAAAAAGCAAAAGGACCGGTGATGAATTAGTAGACTCAATACGAATGACTGGTCTGTTAAAAGCAGCTGTAAAAGTGTATCCATGGCCACTATCTGACAAAGACCAGTACGTAACAAGGGAAGGAAATTTGATTGAAAATGGAGTATTTCAACATTATAGTTCCAACCAAAATGTTAAATTTCTAGTAAGGGTGTATATTATAAAAGGTGTAAATTTGAGACCCAAAGAGCATATATACACGTTAGACGCTTATGTTGTTCTGACAATGGGAAAACAAAAAATAAATGATATCAAAAACTACATTCCAAAAAGATCAGATCCTGTATTTGGAAGGTAATTGTATATAAGATTTTACTATATTATTTGACAATAGTGAATTGCTGAAAAAGTAGGTTAAAGTAGTTTTATTGAAATATTCAGTTTTTTTATACCCACATTTCCAGACTTGCACCACGTAGTACATTTAAATAATACATTCAATATATTATATTATTATTTTAAGTTTGCGAGCGCGTTATCAACATACTCTGTACGAAGCAATCCATACTGTAAACTAACAGACACTTACTTTACTTTTTGGTATCCGGAAGGAATGATGCACATTTATATTAGTGTTAAAGTTCTTTAGTCCACTACCGGTCGACGTTAATCGTATTTTCTTTGGCGTTCCATAAATCCTCAAGGGTGCAAGAATGGGTATCGCCTGCACAACAGCAGATGGGCGTTCTTGGGGTCTTTTTACTTGTCTTGGGACAATTCCCCACCATTGTATCAAAACAATTCATAGTTTCAAGTTCATCCTTTAGGAGTACCAAATTTAAAGGGGAACCTGAATCGCCTGCCCACTCCGTCTACCACTATTTCCCCAGATGGCGGTCTCTGGTCTATCGCGACTAATAACATAATCTAAGCCAACGTCACCTAGCCTAACCTGACCCGTTATGACATTTTCGCGCACCAAAACACCTTCTGCTCCTAGATAACCTAATTACTGAACTCTATCCTTTAAGGTTTAATTTCATGTTCAAAACGCCAATATTTTCGCACATTTGAATTTCTAAACACATTAAACAGTAACTGGACAGAATAAGTCCAACTTATATACCTAACTAACTGTACTTCCTACACTGAAACAATGTGATAGTAAGGACTAATTGTAAAACAAGTATGGGAAGTCGATGGTCTACATCAATCACAATTTAGGCAGGCCTCTTCTACTGTTTCCCAAAGTAGATAATAGGAAAAAATATACGAAAGAAAAGAGAGACCCAATTTACCCGAATTAACAGCAATTAGATCTTGTGTTAACAATGTCCCATATGGACATAATCTTATTTTAAGGAAGTTGAGATGCCTGTCTTCTCAGTATGTATAATTGGGTATATTGAAGTTTCTTTCTTTTTTTTAGGCATCTGTTTCACTTATCTTTTTTTCCATTAAATTGTTTCATTATCGTTACGTTAACGTTGGCATTATGGAGTTAAAACACTAAATTCTATTTGTATTCTGAATTGCATATTTTCATGTTTCATTTAAAAAGTATTTGTTTAGGAGTTTTGAACTACATGGTGAATTCCCAAAAGATTATCTATTAAAAGTATCTATTTGGGACCATAATTTTGCGGAAAGAGGTAGACTTATAGGCGAAACTACGATTGATTTGGAGAATCGTGTCTACACAAGACATCGAGGCCGATGTGGTTTATCTGACGAGTATATAAGGTAAATTTCACATTTATCTATAGAGCATAAAAAAACTAAAATTTTTGTGGTGAAACATCCATAACAAAAATAACTGAATAGTTTAAGGAGCTTTATACATACTAAAGCACTTCTATCATCAGGTGATGAATTGACAAAATACTTCTAGATAACTTACAATCAGCTATAATCGTTTACATTCTTACAATATAATCTTTCTTTTCTTAATTTTAAGCCTTTGCTTAATTAAATAAGTAAAACTCACAATTTTTATCTGGTACTATTTTTGGTGATATGATAAAATAGTTTTGTTTTTAAATTAAAACAGTACAGGTAAGACTTTGAAATTCATTTCTAATCATTTCTGCCCAAAAACCTACTATTCTGTATGTCTGTTTAGATTTACAATAGCAATTCAAAATTTAAATTCGCAGTATCGCATTCTCTTGGTGTATGAAGATGTAACGTTCATCATCATCGCCATAAGGTCCTTAACCCGAAGTTGGACACGCACCTCCACTTCTTCCTGTGTCGAACCAAAAGAATATAACCTTCATAATAGTAGGTCTTGGTTTTAGACTTGATTTTCTTTGTTCAGTTTTGCTTTTAGTCTTGCTACTATAAAGACAGTCTTGGTCTTGGTCTTGGAATTTGGACCAAACCCAAGACTGCAAGACCAAGACCAAATTTGCTCCTCACTACTACAGGCGACGTTCACTAAACAGCCTGTAGTTATTTACCTAACAATATAATGAAACAAGCTTTTAATTCACCTGACTAACCTTTGATATGATCAGTATTGTTTACATGGGATTTTTCTTTTCTTATTAATAAAAGATAAGGTGGATAATATGAAACATGACACGAAGAGCTACTAACACAGTAACAAACTGTAAAAACTTTTAAATTATTAGACATGGACCACATAAATGGAGAGATCAGGAATCTCCTACTCAAATTTTGTCAGGACTGTGCCAAATGTATAACCTTGAACCACCAGAATACTTTGAAAACTATGTAAGATTTGCTTCTAAAGAATTCTATATTGATAAATGTAGGTTGATTCATACTTACATTATTATTATAACATGTTTCTACAACTTTAAACTATTTCAGATTATCCAAACGTAAATATTCGAAATGAAAATCTTGCTCTTATAATATTGAGAAAATGGAAATGCATTCCAATAATAGGTTGCCACTTAGTACCAGAACATATAGAAACGAGATCTTTATATCACCCTTTTGTGCCTGGATTAGAACAAGTAAGGTATATAACGCGTAACTAAATCACAGTTAATATACGCTTTTAAGAAACAAATATTAAAATTTTCACTATTTAACAAATAAAAAATCACTTAATATGATCTGGAACTGTCGGACTTTTATAACATTTAATTAAAGAATCGGATTGTATATGTTCGATATCCAGGATGCCAGAATCATTAATTGTTCTATTGACATTTGTTATCTGCAACGAAAGGATTTGATTAAAATTTGAAGGCAAAACCCGCTATTACTGCTTTTTTGTGTATTGCTTTAATTATTTATTAATTAACTCAAAATACGTACATTTATTTACTATTACTAACTGTTTTGATAAAATCACTGGCCTGCTGCTTGAATATGGAACATTTCACCAAAACACGAACAGTACAGATTGTAGTAAAATGTAATGAAAAACTGAAACTACATATTCCTTTGTTTTATTACAAACATATAGTTTCTAAACTTGTTCTCTTTCAGGGAAAATTACAAATGTGGGTGGACATATTTCCTTATTCTGAGCTCCCTGTGCCTCCAAAGGTTGATGTGACCCCAAGAAAACCAATACACTACGAATTAAGGGTAATTATATGGAATACAATGGATGTTGCCCTTCGTGAGGATGATTTTTTTTCTGGAGAGAAAAAGTCGGATATTTATGTCAAAGGGTAGCTAAAGTTTATATTTTTATAATTTAAATCAATGTACATAGTACAATTATTAGGTGGTTGGGTAACCCAAAAGAAACTCAAAGCACTGATGTACATTACCGATCTTTTAATGGGGAAGGAAATTTTAACTGGAGATTTATTTTCAACGTAAACTATTTGTCTGCAGAAAATGTGCTTGTTTACCATTATCAAGCAGGCACAGTTTTTCGTGAAGAAGTTGATTATAAGGTTCCTTGTAAACTACATCTTCAAGTATGGGACAGTGATACTTTCACTGCAGATGACTTCCTAGGTTTGTTTTCATTTCAAGCACACTCGTCTTTCAGTACATACACATACACATTAAGTACAAAAGCCACTTTAAATTTAATGAAGTCAGGAAAATTAAATTTTTGGTCGGAGTCTAAATCATTATGTGTGAATTGCAATTTCGAACTTATAAAAAAAATAACTTTTCTACTCAGTAGAATTAGTCAAAATGCATAATTTAATTCGTAATAGACCGCTATTTGGAAAAATGGGCATGTCAAATGATAAGACATTGGCATATACATGTACGTAGGCAACCCAACATACACATTTCTAAAGAGGACTAGGTTTTTAGAAGGAATATACTGGAACATTCTGGAACGCCTAATCTCTATAAATAGTTGTCGCGTGATTGAGTTGAGTAATACGAGTCAGAGAGTTCGAGGCGATAGAAAGAGAAGAAAGCGCGAAGAAGTGATAAAGTGTTTATAATTGTTAACTGATTAATAATAGAACTGTTATTTAGACAGTGAGTAGGTAAATAACATTAATAATAGTGCAAGAAGGAGTGACATTTGGTGTCAGGTGTGGGGTTAAAGAGGAAGGAGGAGGATTTTGAAGAATTCCATCGAATATTCCAGAGCGTTCATCGGCCAATTTTCTGAAAGTTTCGATCGGTTACGAGAAATCCTAGCAAATGATATATCGTTGGAAAGTTCTGGAATAGAGAGGAAAGAATCTGACGTTATAAAGAAATTCATTGAACTTTCAGGGAGTTTCCATTTGCCACGGGAAATCCTAACAAGTTATACACCGTTGGAGAGCTTTCGAATAAGAAGAAAGAAGCTGTCGTCATTGAAGAAATCCATCGAGGTTTCTACCGATCGTGACTTACCCCAACAAACCATATATATCGTTGGAAAGCGTTTAAAGAAAGGAGAACAAATCCGATGTTATCAAAGTATTCCATCGATGTTTCTAGAAGAAATTGAGAAATTGAGAAATTTTAGGTCTATTATAACCAGAGGTACCGAGGCAAATATGGAAGAACAAATAAAAGCTATATGGCAATGATGGCAGAAATTAAAGCAGGATATGTAAAAATGACAAACAAAATGGAAAAAGTCAAGAAGAAATGAACTTGGGACATGAAGGAATGAAAATGGTACAAGTAGAAATGGAGCACGAATTAAAAGCAGCTCAGGAAGAAATGAAAAAAGAGTTTCAAGTAGCTTAAGAAGAAATGAAACAGAAAATGGAAGTAATACATGCTGCAATAAATATCAGAATAGAGGACAAGATAAATGATATTAGAAATGAAGTGGAAAGGAAAAGAATATGACTTCCACCATCTTGTTAACCGCCTGCAGCAGGTACATCAGACGCAACTGAAAAGCTGTAACCAAAGAAGTAACGAGACTCTTCAGCAATTTGAGTCCGATGTGGAGCGCCTCGTAAGACTAGCCTACCCTTCGGCCCCTTAATTAGCACGCCACACGACTCCAAGTGAAGCACTGTCACACACCCTAGAGTTTAAAGCAGCGAAGCAAGCTTCCAAAGGTCATATACGTGTACGACAAGCTGAAATCTAATTACAAAAGAAGGTGTCGTGTCGCTTAGCAGGGAATGGTACCCAAAGTGTTGGGAATGTAGAAGAACTGGTCATTTTGCTCGAGACTGCAAGAACTTCAGTGGTCGTCTGAAAAGCTGGAATTGCGGAAAAATTGGAAATGCGATCTTATCCAGTTGAGTATTGGTAGGTGACATAGTAGATGATGTCATCGTTGGAATTAGACCTTCTTCAATAACAGTGAATCGTAGAGGAAAATTAAGTACTACTAAACTCCGAGTGTTGTAAAAATCAAAATAGCTGACGACATCGGTGGATTGGTGGGGGTATTTGAATCAGATAATTAAGACTTGGCACAGAAAGCATTATTGGTGGGGTGTACGCTCGTAAGAAGTGGAACATCATCGATACCTGTTAGAATAGCCAATTTGAAAGACTTTGAACAAAAGATCTGCAAAGGCACAGATTTGGGTGTATTTTACAACGGAAAATGGTCTATGGCAGGTCAATGCGATGCCTTTTGTATTGTGTAATGTACTAGCTACATTCGAAAGACTCATTGACACTGTATTACAAGGATTGAGCTGTAAAATCTGTTTGGTTTACCAAGACGACATCATCATACTAGGAAGAGATTTCAATGACCACCTCCAATTTATGACTGAAGTCTTCAAGAAGTTGTCAGCCTCAAGGTTGAAGCTAAGTACAAAGAAATGCAGTGTTTAGGCGACAAGTGAAATACCTAGATCGTGTCATAACTCCAGAAGGAATTATGACCTACCCCGACAAAACGGATGCCATACGAAGTTATTCCATGCCGAAGGATCGTCACGAACTACTACCGAAGATTCATACGAGGGTGTATCAATATAGCCCAATCACAGTACAGACCTACAGAAGATGGAATTTCATTCTATTGCTGAATGCCAAGTGAAGCATTAAAAACATCTGAAGATTACAATCTCTGGAGCACCAATCTGGACGTACCCACAGTTCAGCGAACCCTTCATCCTGGATGTCGACGCTAGTCATGTGGAACTTAGTAGTGTGATACGAAAAGGTCTTCGGATACTTTAGTAAAACATTCTCGGAACTAAACCAGAACGAAATTATTGTATCAGTCGTCGAGAGCTACTGACTGTGGTTAAAACCCTCGAACATTTCTACAAGCACCTGTATGGAAGTTCCTCTTAAGAAGGGACCACGCCTCCCTAAAGTGGCTGCTACAATTCAAGAATCCGTAAGGACAGATTGCACGATGGTTATGACTCCAAGTTTGTTATCAATCTTCGTCTAGGCAAACAACACGGCAACGCAAATCCACTATCCTGGAGACCTTGCGTGGAAAACTGCAAGCATTGTTCATCTGCGGAAAAGAAGGAAGAGCATTGAACTATTGTAATGTAACCACCGTTCAGCCTGAGGATCCTGGGAGGATAAGGCATTAATCGAAGATCAGAGGAAGGACGAATATATTGGCCCAATAACGAGTTGGAAAGAGGCCGGAACCTCAAGACCATTGTGGGCAGATGTAAGCCACCTAAGTCAAACCACGAAAAGTTATTGGGTAAAATATACTTCCCTTGACGTAGATCACGTCGTTTTAAAAAGAATGTGGGAAAGTCTGGATGGAATTAGAAACAAGATCCAAGTAGTACAAAAAAACGAATTTCAGAAGTCTTAGAAGCAGTCAATCGGCGTTACAAAGAATCTAGGAAAGGTACGCGAGCGATTTTATTGAGCACAAAGTAGAAAGGAACGTGGAAGACTGGTGCAGGAAATCCCCGATATGCGCCGCCAGTAAGGGACCGATGATAAGGAGTTATGGACGAATGCAGCAATACAAAGCGGGAGCGCTATTTGAGAGAATCGCATTCGACTTAGCAGAACCATTTTTATGTGACGGACTCTGTTAACCGATACATCCTGGTAGTCATTGCTGAGAAGCTTGTCAATGACTGGATTAGCCCATATAGAGTACCATTAGAATTGCATTCCGACCAAGGCAGTAATTTCGAATCGGCTTTGTTCAAGAATATCGCTGAATTAATGGGCATTACTAAAACAAGGACTACGCCCTTACATCCACAGTCTGATGGAATGGCTGAACGATTTAACACTAATCAATATAAGAAGCGTCGTTAACGAACACCAAACTGACTGGGACCGACACATAGCACTATTCCTCCTGTCTTATAAATAAATAAAATTTATAATTTCTCTTTTCTTAGTTAAGGTAGTTTGAAATCCTTTAAGTTACTACATTAAAGTTGGTTAATTATGTTGGAAATCACGTGGTCCGCCGGTTTCGCCCAACATCCTATACACATGGGCTCTCGTTTTTTTATTGTTTCCGTTGTCATAGTTAGTTACTAATCAACCTTTGTACACAATTAATTTTTCACTTTGTATTTTCGAGTTCAATATAAATCGGTTGTTTAAAATTTAGACGAGTGTTTCGTTTCCATTTGTCAGCCAACCTCCAACAGGTTATGGGCCCAGGCAAATAAACACGCGGGTCTAAATAAACCGAAGAAAATAACCTCAACGTGATCAAGAGAACGGCGTGTCGGCGCGGCAGTCATCTTGTTTTTTCGAGAAGCTTCGAGGTGAAGCAAGAAGGAACAAAGGACGCGTTCTTGGACATTGTGTACCCGATCGATAGTAAATAAAAGGAAGGACATGAGTGCCAACGGTACTGTGCATATTGAGGCTCTAGGCCGAGATAATTACGATATGTGGAAACTGAGGATCCGCGCCGTTTAAGTCAAGAATTGGTATGTGGGGATATGTCAACGGAACCAGATCCGACGAAAAATAAAAATGTTAACGACGTCGATGTACAAGAGTGGTTGACGAACGACGAGAAAGCTCTGTCCGACATCACTCTATCCCTCAGTGACAACCAGTTGATGACAGTACAGCACTGTAAAACGTCTCGCGAGATGTGGTTCAAGCTGCAAAGCACAAATCAGTCGAAGGGGCCGGCTGGCGAGGCCGCGTTGCTCAAAATTTTGATGATGCAGAAGATGACAGAAGGTAGTGATGTACGCGATCATCTTGGCAACTTTTTCGGAAACGTCGACAAGCTATCCGAAATGGACGTCAGACTGGACCCGGATCAACTCACCATCCAACTGCTGTACAGTTTGCCTCCAAGTTTCGAAAGTTTTCGAATCGCAATCGAGAGTCGAGACGAATTGCCAACCGTTGAGAGCCTGCGCACCAAAATAATCGAGGAAAGCGACGCCAGAAACAACGCCTCATCAATTGTTGATCAAGGTGCCATGTTCGCGAATAGGATGGGTCCCTGTAAAAAGCATCGACCGAAGCCAGCTCGGAACTCGAACGAGAAGAGCGACAAGGACGCCTTTTTTCCCTACACGTGTTCAAAGTGCGGAATTAAGGGACACAAGGCGGCTAACTGCAAGGGCAAGGGCAAGAAAAACAAGTTAGAAGACGTATCGATGCTTGCGATATTCGAGGAGAGTGACACGTGCCAAATCGCAACTAGCGGCGTCGAGGACGTCTGGTGCCTCGACAGCGAATGAACTTCTCACCTGTGTGGCGACACGACGAGATTCACCGAGTTGGACAAAAGCGAGACGGGACGGCTGAAATTGGCGAGCAGTGCGACGGCGGAGATAAGGGCGAAAGGAACGGCGAGAATTGCGACTAGCGTGGATGGCCAGCAGCGCAAAGTTACCCTTAATGAGGTACTGCACGTTCCCGAGACCCGGACCAATCTTTTGTCGGTGTCGAAGATCACCGATCACGATTTTTCGGTCGTTTTCGACAAAGAGAAAGCGAAGGTTTTTGATCGAGACGGTGTGACGCACATGATTGCAAATCGCAAGGAGAACCTGTACCTCGTGCAGGCCACCTCCATCGAAGGATGTCACAACGCAGTATCTGGAGTGGACCGAGACGAGAAGTTGGCGCAACTTTGGCATCGTCGGATGGGTCACGTAAACTTTCGCGACCTCATCGCAGCTGCGAGGAGTGGAGCTATCCGTGGATTGGAGCTGAAGGGAAATTTGGATGACCTTGTCTGTGACATTTGCACCAAGTGCAAAATGACGCGAAAGCCTTTCCCGAAAGAGTCGCATCGTGTGACTTCAAAGCTCGAGGTCATTCACACGGACGTCTGCGGCCCTACGCGCGTTGCATCGCACTCCGGCTCCCGATACGTAATTACGTTCACGGACGACTATTCGAGGTGGACGGAAGTGCGATTCATGAAGTCGAAGGACGAAGCGTTCCAGATGTTTCGCGAATACAACCAAGTTCACGAGTTAGAGTTTGAACTTATCCCGACAGAGAAAGATCGAGCCGAGCAGGTAGTCGTACAAGATCAACATGACATCGACGAATTGGAAATTCCTGAGGGGTTCCGAGGTTTTTCGCCTGATGAAATTGACGATCCGGCTCTGAAGATACGACCTGAAGAACTAGTAATTCCACCTGCGGAACGACAAGTAGTGCCACCTACGAAAGGACCAGGACGACCGAGGTTGGTTAGAACGGGACAGCGCGGGCGACCGCGTAAACTGTACTGTGCTCAACCAGGGGAAGCAGCGAACGTTGCAGAGATTCCGGTCAATCAGGCAGTTTCTGGTGAGAACTCGGCGGAATGGCTGGAAGCGATGGCAGAGGAGGCTATTGCTTTGATCCAGAACAACAACATGTCATAGGCAGTAGGTTTGTCCTGCGCAATAAGCATAACGCCGACGGTACCATCAGCAAGCGAAAAGCGCGCGTAGTCGCGCGCGGCTTTACGCAAAGACCAGGTATCGAGTTCCACGACACGTTTGCCCCAGTCGCAAGACTGAGCACGATCAGGATCGCGGTTGCGATCGCCGTGCAAGAAAATCTGAAGATCCGACAACTAGATGTCAAGACGGCTTATTTGAACGGAGAGGTCTAGGAACAGATTTTCATGGAGGCACCGGAACACTTCAAGGACGTTTTGGCCTACGTCGTGCAAGATAAGAAGATCGACGAAGATGTGAGGAAGAAGGCAGACAAGATGCTGAGGAAGTTGACTGATCACGACGTGGTTTGCCTGCTGGAAAAAGCGCTGTACGGGTTGAAACAAGCAGGGCGTGCTTGGTATCATTGCATTGATGGAGCGATAATGAACCTTAAGGTGACTTGTTCGGATGCAGATCCCTGCCTGTACTTCATCGGGCCAGTCGAGGACAGGATTCACATCATCATCTACGTGGACGATATTTTAATTATGTCCCGTACGGATGCAAAGATTGAAAAGGTGAGAGACTTCCTGAAGACCAAGTTCGAGATCAAGGACTTAGGCGACATGCGATAGTGCTTGGGGCTGGAGTTCGAGAGAGGTGCCAACGAGATGAAAATTTGCCAAAGAGGATACATCGACGAGATATTGGAGAGATTCGGCATGTCACAATGCAGGCCTGTCGGTACGCCCATGGAACCGGGAACGAAGCTGCGGAAGAAGGACGAGAAGTCTGACGAACAAACTGAGAGCTTCCCCTCACGCGGTGAGTGCCTTATCGCAGTTCAATGACTGCCACGTGGAACAGCACTGGAATGTTGCAAAGCGAGTTTTGCGATATCTCGCAAAGACACGTGACCTGGGTCTCCTGTTCTCCAAGTCCGATGATCCAGGAGTGATGTTCGTGGACGGTGACTGGGGAAACTGCATCGTGGACCGGAAGTCGTACACAGGATACGCATTCGTCACGAGCGGCGCAGCGGTGACTTGGGAGTCCCGGAAGCAACCGACGGTAGCATTGTCATCGACAGAGGCCGAATACATGGCCCTGTCGGACGCAACGAAAGAAGCCTTGTACATGAGAAGGCTGCTCAGCGACTTTGGAAAGCGACTCGATGCCGTCCCACTCCGTAACGATAACATCGGTACACAGAAGCTCGTGTCGAATCCTATGTTTCACTCGAGGACGAAGCATATCGACATTCGACACCACTCGGTCCGAGATGCTAAAAAGGAGGGGATGATTTAAATCGAGTACACTCCGACAGACGAGATGCCTGCCGATATACTGACGAAGGGGTTGTCAAGGCCGAAGCACGAGAGCTGTGTCCAAGGTCCTGGTTTGGATTCCCGTAGACCAAGATAACTCAATGGTTTTCTCTTCGGATGTTGGTCGAGGGGAAGTGTTGGAAATCACGTGGTCCGCCGGTTTCGCCCACACATGGGCTCTCGTTTTTTTATTGTTTCCGTTGTCATAGTTAGTTACTAATCAACCTTTGTACACAATTAATTTTTCACTTTGTATTTTCGAGTTCAATATAAATCGGTTGTTTAAATTTAGACGAGTGTTTCGTTTCCATTTGTCACCCAACCTCCAACAAATTACCTGTTTAAATAATCGCAAAAAATCGCTGCAACTGGTAAAATTTTCAAGTATCTTTAATTTCTTGAAAAAATACTCTATTTTGATGTTGAATTTACTGAATGATAGTATGTTTTACATCGAGATATTATTATTTACTATCTTATATGATGGTTTAGATACAGTTGGATATATTAATACATCATAACAACTATAGTTTTCAACTACTATATTAATATGTGTGTGAGAGGAAGTGATTGTCATGCTCCTTAATAGTTACAGAAACTTAAAAACAAACTATTCCTGACGAAGTACCAACTTAATTTTAATGTATTACGTTGTATAATACTTCAACATGTACGCTTGTAATTTATTTTACAAAGATGTTTATTTTTACGAGTTACATTAAATTAACGATCTTTTTCTGTAAACTTTCCCGATTTTATGTGTCGAGTCAAAGGAGCCATCGTATCGATTACCACCTACGGTTTTCTTTTCGTCTCCATAACGATTGTTCATCCTGGATGATATGCTGATTCTTCGAAGGATCGTAAAAATTATAGTTCAGGCAGCAGCACCTGTTACAGTCAGCTTATGTAATATGCTTACTCGTATCTTTACTGTTTTACTTAGATTTTCAAGGGTGCTTTATAGTTTAAATTTATGCGTAGAATAAGTTTGGATGTTTAAGACACTTCACGTTGTTATACTACTACAGTTGTGGACGTTTGATGATTAATTAAATGGAGGCAATATGCTTCTATATTTTTGATGAGCTTCGACAAAGCCCTAATTGTTAAAATAGGTAATACAGTATATATTATACATTTTTAGCCACGCCAGATTCTAGGCATCCAAAATCTTATTACTTATGTACAAATGAGATGCGATTGGCATATACAACTGGTTCACCAATATTATTGCATAAGTCAAGTTGTGAAGTATTTTAAATAAAAAAGTTAACAATATTTCGAAATAATCCTTTTTAAAAACTAAAATTTATTATTCAGTTTTGGTAGTTGTGCTTCTGTTGTGTTCATCATTCCTAATTGTTAATTACAGTAGTCAAGATCCCGTCAAAATTTGTTAGAAGATTATTGAATGATCTATAAACAAAAATCTGTTTTATGAAAAATGGGAATCTTATCACTTTGGCAAAGTGCACCACCTTTAACTATTCTATGACCGCTTATATTAATACTTCAGGCGCATTACAACCATTAAATTCTTTACAAAAATGACCGTTGTTGGGCATTAGACATGTTATAGCAATTTTCATAACCAATTGTTCAGGGAAAACAATTTTTAGGAACTCTCACATTGGATCTGAGCAGATTGCCACGTGGCGCTAGAACGTCCAAGTCTTGCAATATAAAAATGTTATCACCTGATGCACCAACATTAAATTTATTTAAAGTAAAACAAACTAAAGGATGGTGGCCATTTATATCGGAATTCAAAGGTGAAGAAGAAGTTACGGTATTAAAATAGAAAATTTATTACTACTACTTTTCTTCTTTTTATTTATTGTTCATTCTAGGGGAAAGTGGAGGCTGAGTTTGAGTTGCTATCAATAGGTGAAGCTGAACGATACCCTGCAGGTCGCGGAAGACAACCTCCACAAGCACTTCCTCCTCCAAGGTTATAATTTAAATAATTTTTTTTAATTAGAAGTTAAGTAGTATTAAGTTAAATAATAATAAAGACCATTAAGCTCAGTAAATAATTTATTAAAACTGCCACTAAAATGTGGATCACGATTTCGAACTTATTAGTTTACATAAGCATTGTATAGCTTTAATAATTCGCTGATCAAATTGAAGATGCTCCATAAAAAGCAAGTTGACGTAGTATGAAGGAATAGACACCGTATCACTATCTACTGATATTTACTGCTAATTGTTGTAGAAGGACATTATGAAAGTTTTATGTATTAACACGTGCATGGAATATTCCGCCGTTTCTAGAACGTTCCAGTACATTCCTCTGGAACTTTCCTTTCCTCCACTTCGACCTTTCTTCTCGCAGTTCGTGTTAGAAAAACTTCCCTCCACTCATCTTCACCATGTCGGACTTAACTTCTGAGCAACTCCAACAATTCTCGGCAATCATCGCCGACGCCCTCCGACAGACAGCAGGGCCAGCACCGTCGTCATCATAGCCTCGACCGCCACAATTTTCAATGCAAGCGTATCGTGCAATCGACGAGACGATTGTAGCCGACTATTTCACTCGATTCACATGGGCGCTCGACCTGAGCAAGGTACCAGCGGATCAACACGCACAAATATGCGACGAGATTATTGCAAAGAAACCAGAAAACTTCACCGCGGCATATGAAATGGCACACGCTCTCGAAGCTACTCGCACCACTGCCGACGAGGTCAAAACAGCTGCTGCTAAGTCTGAATCAATTAATCGAATTGGATATGAGAAACCTTTGTCCAGGAAAAGCATTAACCAGCAGCCATCACGCAACAAGTCAGCTCATCGAAACCAAGAACCAAACCAGGCAGCAACAAAGACCACACCAGAGAAACCAGAGCGCATCCCAGGACAACGAATGAACATGTGCAGGGTGCGGTGAAGCTCACCCTCGCAGACAGTGCAGGTTCCTCAACGCCGAGTATTTGAAGTGTGGCAAAAAAGGTAACATCGGAAAGTTTGCCGATCAAAATCGAGGAAACGTAGGACAACAAATCACGTGTCCGAAGAAGAGCTCCCAACACAGGACCTCGACGTCGTGGAGTACCTTAGCAAAATTGAGGTCATTGGATCGGTCAGTGCAGCACCTAAGCCACTGGTTGATGTCAATATTGAGGGAACCACCGTCAAAATGGAACTCGACACCGGCACCCCTTGCTCAACCATGAGCAAATCAAAGCTAAGTATGATCAAACCAGACTTTTTGTTGCAGAAAAACGATCGTAACTTCGTCAGTTACACCGGTCATCCAATCAAATGCATTGGCAAAATGTCAGTGCGCACCACCATTGGAACCACAACCAAGAACCTGAATCTCTACGTGGTTGACAATGAAGTCGAATCGCTCCTTGGTCGAGAGTGGATTTCGGAGTTTGTACAAGAGATCGACTTTGGGCACCTCTTCGCGAAATCCGACGCAATCCACAAGCTCTCAGATAAACAGGCTTTGACCTCGGAACAACAGAAGCAGTTCGATAAATTCTATCTCGCTACTAGGATGTGTTCAGCGACACCCCCGGGGAGGTCTCAGGCCCCCCAGCGAAGATGCATCTGAAGGCTGGAGCCACACCTGTCTTCGCCCGAGCTCGAGACGTCCCAGTTGCACTCCGTGATACTCACGCCAAGGAAATCGACAAGAAGATCGCATCTGGCTTCTACAAAAGAGTGTACTACTCCGAGTGGGCGTCAACAACACACGTCGTCGCCAAGAAGAATGGCAAGTTGAGGATCACAGGCAACTACAAGCCTACTCTAAACCCGCGGATCATTATCGATGAACATCCGATTCCCAAGGTGGAACATCTGTTCAATCAAATGCGCGGCGCCACTCTCTTCTGTCACCTGGACATCACCAACGCGTATACTCATCTCGAGGTCGATAATGAGTTACGCTCACGCTGAACACCCCAACTTATGGTCTGATCCGTCCAACACGAGCAGTCTATGGAGCAGCTAACATCCCCGCTATCTGGCAGCGGCGAATGAACAAGGTTCTGCAGGGTCTCACAAACGTCATAAGTTTTTTTGACGACAGTATAGTTTTTGCTAATAGTTTTGAAAATCTGATGCAGGTTCTCCGCACCACCCTGGAACGGTTTCGGTAACACAACCTCAAGCTCAACCTAGCCAAGTGCGTTTTCGCTCGAACATCCCTGGAAGCCCTTGGACACAAAATCGATGCGTCAGGCATCCACAAGTCTGATGCACATATCCAAGCTGTACGTGATGCACCGAAACCAACCTCACCAGAAGAACTCTAACTGTTCGTAGGTAAAGCAACCTATTACAGCTCGTTCATCCCTGATTTGTCCACCACAGACAGACCACTCAGGGACATGCTGCTCAAGGATCCCCTCATCTGGACACCAGAAGGCGACGGGGCATACAAGGACATCAAGGACGCCTTAACCTCGCCCCAGGTACTCATGCAGTATGATCCAGCGTTACCACTCCTGTTGGCCACGGACGCAACCAACACCGGCCTGGATGCAGTACTGTCATACCGGCTTAGCAACGGGCAAGAACGTCCAATCGCTTACGCCAGCCGAACGATGACAGCAACCTAGCAGAGATACCCGCAGATCGACAAGGAAGCGCTGGCCATCGTGTGGGCTGTACAGAAGTTTTTCAATTATCTGTACGCTCGCCACTTCACCCTCATCACCGATCACAAGCCTCTCACACAGATTCTGCACCCAGAGAAGTCTTTACCGGTCCTGTGCATCAGTCGCATGGCCAATTATGCTGTCTACCTGACACACTTCGACTATGACGTCATCTTCGAGACCTCTAAAGCCACGCCAACGCTGACTACTGTTCCCGAGCTCATCTCCCAACAACAGTGAATCTCATCAGAAACTTTTTTTCTCCACAGGAGGAAGAGATAGACAGTTTTAATGATTTTGATCTTTTTGCAGTCCATCAAATACAGCAGTTGCCAGTCAGGGCAGAAGCAATCGCTCTCGAGACCAGGAACGATCTATATCTGGGCAAAATTGTTCAGATTCTTGAAGCAGGTTAAGACCTCACTCGCCGGCACTACAAGGCACCAGAAGCGAAGTATACCCTCGCCGAAAACTGCCTGATGTTCGAACACCGAGTTGTCGTCCCTCCTTCTCTGCGAAACACTATCTTCAACCACCTGCACGCAGCTCACCTGGGGATAGTCAAGATGAAAGGCATGGCACGTTCCTTTGTGTTCTGGCATGGAATCGACAACGATATCGAGTCTCTCGTCAAGGCTTGCGCTGTGTGTGCAGCTCATGGTTTGTCGGTCACCGTCGCCTTCGACAACGCTAAACAGTTTGTTTCAGACGAATTCAAGACCTTCTTGAAAACGAGTGGTGTTAAATATCACAAGTTGTCGGCGCCATACCATCCCTCAACCAATGGCCAAGCTGAACGCTACGTTCAAACGGTGAAGGACGCCCTCTATGCAATGAAAACTACTAAAGGAACGCTCCGCACCAACCTGAACGAGTTCTTTCGTCAATTCCGTAAGGCTCCACACTCCACCACTGGTCAATCTCCAGCCCAGCTGTTCTTGGGATGAGATTTCTGAACGAGACTCAACCTGACCAGGCCTGGAATATTCCGCCGTTTCTAGAACGTTCCAGTACATTCCTCTGGAACTTTCCTTTCCTCCACTCCGAACTTTCTTCATTAGTATATATACGCCCGCTCACCACACTCTCAGCCTTCTTAGTTTTTCTCTCATTGACTCTGTGTCATTGTAAATAAATACAGTTGTTCATAACAGTGGTTATTATTTATCTTCACCCCACGATTTAACAGAAGGTATCCATTTAACATATTGAATTTACGACCCAGCCTTTATTAGGTGATAGGTGAGCAAACCAAATTAATAAAAAATAAAAACCACATTTTAGAAACTATATAGAAATAAGTGCCGAGCTTTGAAGGATGTAAATTAGATGCAAAATCGCACGGTGAATTCATCAGTGTGGTTAAGAACAAAAAATTTTTTTTAAAAAAATCACAATAATTTACAATCCAAAGCCGGTTCTGTGCGTGAATTGACAACGTAAGTGTCTACCTAATAGCGTAGTGCTATAATAACTGTAACTAAAAAGATGATGAATGTAATTATCGTCTATTATCGAACGTCTAAGATAAAGGATTTATTACTACACTTAATGTTTAGACTAAATAAATTAAATAAGTACATTAAAAGTAGCACTATGTAGATATAATTAATCAAACCAAAATGCAAGTTACATAAACATTAGTCGGTAAATGAGCACCATCTGATTAATTGTAATTTTTTTAAAGCAAATTTCCACACTATCATTAAGGTGTTGCCAAGGCACGTTTGCGGGTATTAAAAAAATGGTGGAATAAGGCTGAAAAAAATTTGAACCATACATTTACCGAAAACAGTACTTAAAAACGCAAAGATGTACGATATGCGAATTTGCATCGCATCAATAGTGATTAATGATGACTAATAATTGCTATTGTACAGTAAAAGTTCTTCATTCGCGGGGTACACGTTCCATAAATATGCCGTGAATACATAAACCGTGGATATGGAATGGTATTTAGTATGTAATCAATGGGGATACGTTCTAAGGTTCCAAAATAAAACCAATATATATCAGAATAAAATCAATTTATTGAGAAATTCGCAATTAAAATTAATCGTTATAATCACCCTTAGACAAAGGTTAAAAGATTTAGTGATTTTTTCTTGGTTTGAATTTCGAATTAGTCCACTTGGTTACATCTTTTATAAAAGCTGCCTCGGCACGTACCAACAGTACATACGCAAAAGATGCCGATACACTGAGGGGATTCAGTAGTACACGCGCCGTAGAGTAAAAACATTCTTATCGGTTCTAGATATCATGAGTTTAATGTTGGGAACAGAGGTTTGAAATTTTGTAGTATGATAGATAAAGCTTTTTTCTAGAGCC